TGAGTCACTTGAGGGCGGCACCTGCCTCATGTCCATCTCTGTACCCCAGGCCCCCCGACCCCGAGGGCCTAGGGTGGCAGGTCCCAGCGAGGGTCCCGTGTGTCAGCTGAGCCCCTGAAGTCCCTACCGCTCCAGACACCTGCTTTTCAGATCTGATTTCCGGGGGGGTTTCAACACGCAGTCCTCACACTGTTCCCACCGACATTTGGGGGCACGGGGTGCTCATTAAACATGCAACTTCCGCCCGGCCGGGGCAGCTCAGCTGTTGAGCATCAACCCGGGAACCAAGAGGTCACCGGTTCGATTCCCGGTCGGGCACATGCCCGGGTTGTGGGATTGATCCCCAGTGTGGGGGGCCTGCAGGAGGCAGCCGATCGGGGATATTTCTCTCTCGTTGATGTTTCTATCTCTCTATCCCTCTCCCTTCCTCTCCCTCTAAACCAAGCATGTCAAACTCCAGGCTTGCGGGCCACATGCAGCCCACAACGAATATTGTTGTGGCCCAGCCAATATAACGGCATATAAGCAACATCTTAATAAAAATTTTGTAACTTCATTTTTACAATCTCCTGTTATACATAATTATTCATAATGAACTACAACGTTCGCTAATGACTGCTGACTATCATCGTGTTGCATTCATTTCTCTTACGCACGGGCCCACCATTTTTCTCCACGAATACCAGCAGCGAATATTTTAGCAGCCAATGGCCACACCGTTAGTCTTGGACTGCCTTGTGTGGTGTGTGCAACAGGAAATAGCTCGCTTTCGGAGAACGAGAAAAATAGGTTTATTTGCGTGATGCTCATTCGTTCGTGCAGTTATTCAGTGTCCGGTAAGTTAATGTTCAAGAAAAAAATACTAATTTTTACTAAAATGTCCTATTATTTTATGTTAGCGACGACTCACTTATTTCAGCCCTTTGTACTCAGCACGTCTCTATCGAAACAAACCCACGTTTCTATGAAAACGGAAGCTTTTGTTTTTTTGTGGCCCACGTACACTTACACCTGGTTGATTTGGCCCGCGTTAGCCTTTGAGTTTGACATGCTTGCTCTAAACACTCAATTTAAAAAAAAGATATCACACAGACAAAAAAAAATAAAATAAAATAAAAAGAAACATGCAGCTCAGCCCCCACTTCAAGCTAAACTCTCCTCTGACTTCGCAGCCCGCCCACGCCCGCCTCCTCTGGGAAGCCCTCCCTGATCTGCCCCTCAGGCTGCATCTCCCCGGCCTCAGTCCCTCCTGTGAACCCAGCCTCCCAGCCACTCTGGGGCCCTGGCTGAGAGTGCGCCCCCCCCCGCCCCGCCCCTCCCCATGTGCCCTGCGGCTCAGCAAACAGGCTGACCAAGACCCAACAGGACAGCCAGGCCCTCCGGCCCCTGACCTGCGGGTGAGGGTGCCTTCCGAGTTGGTGGTCCGGGGGCTCATCTGGAAGGAGAGAGAAAGGCACTGATGAGCATGGGTGGCAGGGGGTCCCAGGGAGGCCGCGGCCCCCCTCAAGGAAGGGGCCCCACTCTCAGACGCTTCCTCCTCGCACCTCCCACCCTCCACTGCTCAGCTCCCAATCAAACCTCCATGACGGTCCCCCGTCTTGTCCAGGAGACACCTGCTCCCCCCACCTGCCAGTCTGGGGGAAAGCCTCTCCTTGGGCTCCTGTAGGTGTTTTGGGGGGGCACCTGCCTGCCACCACCTGCTGCTGTCCTGTCCGCCCCCCACCTGCCCATGGGCCCTGTGGGGGCCTCCAGCTTGCTTCCTGCAGTTCCGGATGGCACCACCAGGTGGGGCCGCTCCTGCGTGTCCATATCCACCGTCCAATGCCCCAATCCGCCCTCATGTAACTCCACCCACCAGGGGCACCCAAAGGCCTGCTCTGTCCTACTGGTGTCGGACCCACGACCTCTGCGCTGTGACGGAGGCCGGTGCCCTGGGCTGGGCCTGCACGGACAGGCCGGACGTGCCCGGGGGTGGCTCACCCGGAAGGAGATGGTCCTGGGGCTGGACCTGCGGAGGGAGCTGCTGTAGGTGGCCCCGGTGGGCGAGAAGGCATCCTCTTCCTCCTCCTCCTTGCTGGGAATTTTCACCTGGATGGAGGGGGCATGTTCACACCGGCTGCCACGGGGACCCCAGGTGGCCCAGCCCAGCCCAGAAGCCGTGGGAGGAAGTGGGAGGCCATGGGGGAGGGGGTCCTGGGCCTGCCTCTGCTGTGGGGATGGGAGATACTGTTCCCTGGAGCCCGGCCGCCGGGCACAGCTGCTGGGGGAACTTCCGGGGGGGCCCCGAAGGCCAGGGCCTGGGTAGGGATTCGCTCCTGTGACCCAGCGGATGCCCCTGCCATGGTGTCCCCTGTCCTGATGGTGACGGGCAGCAGGGAGAGAGAGAGGACACAGCCCGAGCCAGCCTGAAGATGGGGGACGGGAGACGGCAAAGGGAGCCACCGGCACCTGGTAGGACTGGGGGCGGGGGCACTGCCCACCTGGAGTGTGACAGGCCGGAGGCGGGAGGCCAAGGTCGGAGGGGTGCACCCCCCTGGCTCTGCCGAGGTTAGGCGACAGTGGGCCCTCACTCTCTGGGTTCCCCCAGCCACAGGCTGCTCCCGGGCCTGGGGCTGCTCCTGAGCCCGGGGCTGCTCCTGGGACTGAGGCTTCTCCTTGGGCTGAGGCTGCTCCTCGGACTGAGGCTGCTCCTCGGACTGAGGCTTCTCCTTGGGCTGATCCTGATCCTGGGGCTGAGGCTTCTCCTTGGGCCGAGGCTGCTCCTGGGGCTGAGGCTTCTCCTTGAGCTGAGGCTGCTCCCG